ATTTGAAATACAAGTTAACTGACATATCATTTCACAATATTTACTTACTGTTTCAACTTTTTATTATAAATAAATTCACTTAAATAAAGCTTAATATGCTTCAAACTCAATCTTCTAGATCCCTTGGCATCCATCTTGTTTATTTTGATCTACTTTCATTTTTAATTTATGGTCAATTCAAATTACCAATGTTTCGTTTCGGGTTTTTTTTTTGTTTTGTTTTTTGTTTTGGTCACATATTAAATAAATTAACACAGCAACAAAGCATGCATTTAAATTGTTTCTTTTATTCATCCAAAGTAGACATAAAAAAAATTACCTATTTACACTTAATGTCGCCGTATAATTAAAATTAATTTATACACTGATGAGCATATGCATTCAAAGCCGCTTGGACAGACTGGTGAAACATTCTGAGTTAATTTCACTTAATTATTTCTTAATTAATCGGGTAGTTTTGTAAATGTAATTAACTATGAACATTGATCCAGACACCAAGTGTAAGAAAGCTTGGGTTAATATTGACACTAAATTTAGTTTCAACACATTTGGTAAAACGTATTTATTACGAACGTACAATTCAGGATTAACATAAGAAGAAAATAAGTTATGAAAAAAAGAGTTCGTGTTATCCTGTCATGGACTTCATGAAATAAACAGACTCCCTGTCAATCGCTCAGGTAAGTGCACTGAAGTGTGACTAATCTCCCCAGTCTTTCACTATCGGCAAATTTCAAAGTGAAAATCAAGCCATTGTGTATATACAAGCGACAGTGCATGAACCACAGGTGTAAATAGGTGTTATCTTTTGTTTTGTTGATTGTCCCAAGAGTGAAAATGTGTGAAAAAAATATTACGGACGGATATTTTCTATTATAGTAAGCGAAGTGTATACTTTTACCTATGATAATAACAGACAAAATTTATAATGAATTATTAAGAAATGGTTCTGTGTTTCAGATATCTATGATAAAAAAAGAAGTATGATATAAAACCGGTATGATAAAAAACGAATTGTACTGTACTACTTTACTATCAGTTATAGTTTAAAACAAATTTCAAAAATATCTGTTTTTATTTCATTTTTATTATTTTTCCTTTTGTTTATTTACCTATTATGATTGAGCTGTAGACTTCAAATCAGCCCTCTGTGAAGAACTGCATGTGATATACCAGCCAAAATTTCTGCAGTGTATTAAGCTATAAAGGTCACCTAGTACAAACACCTGTGTCACTGAAGAACACTGTGGAAATCAACATCGTTTTGCATAGAAAGAAAAACGAAGTCTATTTTAAAATATCACCGGATTACTGGCTATAAATTCTCACTCTATATATAAGTAAATTTAAACATTCCTGACATTTTTGTATTTCACCAGAGAGAGAGAGAGAGAGAGAGAGAGATGCCCTAGTTTGGATATCATTTAATAGACTGTAACACAAGGTATCAATGATTTTAATACACTTTTTTCTGTTAAACTGGGCAATTCAGATGGTCAAAATATTGGTATTTATAATTATACTGTGTTTATAAGAATCCCCCCTCCCCCTTTGTCTCATAAAATGTAAAACAAAATTACTAAGAACCCTGTGGGGTAGAGGGGGGTTTTAAAGAACAAAAATGGATGTTTTATTTGCCATAAAATTTTTTTAATTGAATTGGATAATTATATATATTTTTTTGGCATTTGATTGTAACAATGTTACCCCCCCCCCCTTTTTTTCCTTCCCCCAACACAGTACACATTATGCTTGCATTAATGAACTGAATTCTTAAGTATAATATAATTAATAATTAAATGAACAAATTGTTGAATAATAATTAAAAAAAAAAGAAATGGTGGATAAAAAGTGGCTTTTATTTACTACCTCCCCCCCCCCCACACACAAATCACACATCCATGTCATGATTTAATTGTATTACTATAAAAGTATAATTTTAATCATTATTAATTATTGATTCACTTGTTTGAGTTTTCATTTTTCTATGATTGAAAAACATGACTGTATTTAAATATTATCACAAATAGGTGCATATGTTGAAAAAAAAAATCAGTTTTAAGTTACACAGAAGCATTAAATGTGACAGTCCAATTTAGTTTAGAAGTTACATTGAAAAATGACAAAGTCTTGAATTAAGTTTTAGTTAAATTCAAATATGACTGTCAATTTTAGGTATAAAAAAAGTTTACTCATCCTCAAGGTATAAAATTTAAAGAAAAGATATATGAAAAGGTTAATATTTTTGGTATGGGTAAGTAAAATAAAATATTGTGAAATGACTAAGTCTTTTATAGGTACTAATCAGGCACACTGAAAAATGACAAAGTTCAATGTAGGTACATTTCAGGCACACTGAAAAATGACAAAGTCCAAAGAAGGTACATTTTAGGTACACTGGAAAAAAATTAAGTTCATTATTGGCACAGAATAGGTATGCCTTTTCTGTACCTATATTAGTAGACACACTTTAGGTACTGAATTGGCACAAAAAAGGCATGCCTATATGTACCTTTTTTTGTATGGGAAAGCTCACTTTTGAGATATTCACTACTGAGTCAGAAACGTACTCACATTCCCATTTTTTACTGACAAACTTAGACAATTACTGACAATGTGCTGTCTTTACTGCAAAACTTAGACAATTACTGACCTTTTTAATGCCTGTGCTGATAAACTTAGAAAAGTACTGACAATCTTAGTCAGTGCTGATAAACTTAGACAATTACTGACTTTTTTATTGTCCCTGCTGAAAAACTTAAACAAGTGCTGACATTTACTGATAAGTACTGTCCCTATTGTCCTCGCGCTCAAGGAGATCTAGACTGCTGAGGTGTGAAATTGATTTTCTTTTAATTTTAAAGAGGGTTTATTTCATTTTTTAAAAAATAATTTTTAATAATTATGCCCCAATGATATTTTTAAAAGCTCCTTTGATCAATTTATGGGAGAATTATTTATTTAAAAATATCCTAAGGCCTGTATTAATATTCATTCATTTAGTTGCTGCCCATTTTATTCTTTTGAATAGAATACTTTTTTAGTTGATTTCCATATCTGGAATTTCTGGATCCCCACCTGAAAGTTTCTAGGGGCAGTATCTGGAAAAACCTTTGAGATTTTGCAATGAAATTTTATAAAAGGTCAAGGTCAGAAATTCGTACAATTGCAAAACCGTTTTCAGATGGAAAATTTCCAGATATCTTAACGTACGTTTCTGACTTAGTAATGATTGTCCTGAAACAAGAGAGTTACAGACAAAATGACAGAAAGATGGATGGAGGGACCCTAATAAATCCCTCACATTCAGTGCAAGTGAGGGACAAAACACATCCATGGATATAGAATAGCATTTACCATAAATTTTGACAATGAAATAGTAATTTGATTTATAGACCCTCAAATCTAAAATGAACAAGAAGTCTGTGAGCCAATGCTCACTAGTAATACCCCCGCTTTGATGTGAATATACCCTCTGATGTGAATAAACAAAAGTTCAATTGCAACAGATGCAAGGATAAACAGGAAGTTGACATCAGATTGGTACAAAAATGAATCACACCATATTGCATGCCTAAACAAAAAGTGTGCTAAGATTTCAAGCATCTGCGATGAGTAATTGCTGAGAAAACTGCAACAAAAAAAATTGTTATGAATGATACAGAAAGACGCATGGATAATCAGGAAGTTGACATCAGATTTAGACAAAAATGAATCCCACCAAATGGCATGCCTGAACAAAGAGTTTGCTAAAATTTCAAGCACGTGCAATGAGTAATGGCTGAGAAAACTGTGACGAAAATTTGTTATGTATGGTTGGAAAGATGAAGGGATAAACAGGAAGTTGACCTCAGATTCGTACAAAATAATTTCCACCATTTGGCATGCCTAAATAAAAAGTGTTCTAAAATTTCAAGCATCTGCTATGAGTAGTTGCTGAGAAAACTGCGACAAAAATTTGTTATGAATGGTACAGAAAGACACACCGATAAACAGGAAGTTGGCATCGGATTTGCACAAAAATTTGTTACAGAGACAAACACACAGACACACAATGGTAAAACACTAAACCCTCCTCTCCTTCGGAGCGGGGGTATGAGGAATTGAAATATTTGGATGAACAGAGAGATGCTGGGTAAAATTATTCTTAAGTGTCACTTTGTTCTAAGTGACACAGATATGAAGTGTGAAAGACTATAGGGTCATAATAAAGAAGTGACAAGGCCATAGTTTTTTTTTTTTTTGGTTTACAATTTTCTGTTTCAAAAATATGCATTGGGTGGTCGAAAAATAAAAATAATTTAGAACTCAACTATTTTGCTTTAAAATAGCAGTAATGCTGTTTTGAATAAAAAAAGTAACACACACCAATTGTATTTATAATCTTTATTGTTGTTGATCACATTACTCTTTTTATTAAATTTTAATGCATTTCTAATTTTAGACTGAATGTCATTTTCATTAGGTTCTGAGTAAAAATTTATATTGAAGAAATGCAAACATATAATTGTTTAACAGTTAAACAGTAATTGTTGAAATAAAGGTGAAAGTAATTTGATCAGCTGTAACTTTCTTCAACCTGCAGCACATAAGCCTGATAATTTCTGGATCAAGTTGTCTGAGACAAGACATTATTTTTATTTTCATGATTGGTGAAAATTAGGGTCGGTGGAATCATAAACCAAAAGAAAAAAAAATTTGGCCCAATGAAAAAGAATAACTATTTCAGTTCTCAGTGTGTGCAATCAATATCTGTAAATATTACCTATTAATGTTTAGGCATATATCTCAAGAAGTCAGTGTGATATACCTTTAGTGTAGCTACATATGTTTCTCTCAGTATGTTTTGATGACAATCTCAGAGGTCAAGAAAGAAAGATAATAGACAGATGGACTAGCAATAATAACTGTCATATTGGTTATCAAATGATAAGTGTAAAATAACTTCATAAATAATGCTAAACAAATAAATTGTTTATGTTACTCTTAAAAGAAATTACCTGCAATCGCCAACAGCATTTTTCTTCTTGCACCAAATGTTGTTATTCCAAGTTCTCTTAAATCAGTTTCTGTAAGTGTCAGAAATGTTGCCAAATCAATCTACAATGCAAAATAATTTTTTTTTAATATTTATATTTCAAATTTCTCTATCCGAGATGAAACTACAAATGATAAAAATTAAAACTTCATATCTTCATAAAGCTATTGGTTCATCGATAGGCATGGTTAAAAAAATCATGTACCTGGTGGGAGTGGAAGAGAAGAGTGGGTGGGGCTTGGATCGAGCACATGAATTTATGGAATCATGTAAATATAAGGAATAACTGTCATTTTTTTTGGTTTTGTTTTATGATTGCAATTGTAATTGGCTTGCATGAGAGATTTCAAATATTAGTGTCACCAAGTGAAGTATACTTAACTCACATTAAGTTCTTCCTATTGTAAGTCAATAACAAGATTTACGTCTTTGAAAAGTCATATAGTAAAAATGCAGATATAAAAAATGTACGGATCTATTGCTAATTTTTTGGAATCCGGGAAAATATTCTTAACAATTCCATGCAAAATTTTACAGCTATGTAACAAATTTATGAATAACATGGGGGGTGGTAGGACAGTAACCTTTCCTGCCTCCAATACTCAGTCACAATGCGTGCTTTGTGTGCAGGTGCATTGTCGTGGAAAAGTTGGAGATACTTCATACCCATTTTGGGGTGACGACTTTCATAATATTTTTTCAGTTTTATTAATGACAACATTTTTATAGAAGTTACTTGTGACTGTTTTGCCCTTTTGCACAGGAATTTGCATGACAGGGCCTTTATTGTCGAAGAAAACTAGTTCTAATTGTATCGGAGACCGTTACAGATGTTCCCCAAACACTCTGAGGATCCAAGATGCATCAACTGACAAAGTTTGATGATTCTTAGCCAACTAATATCTCAAAATTTTAAAATATGGTAAAATTCAAAAAGTACAGTACCAACCAGAACCAACCTGACACCCAAGCAGTCCCAGAAAGCAGTCCCTGGGACTGCTTTGGGATTGCTGTGGGACAGCTGTGGGACTGCTCTAGAAAGCAAACCCAGCAGTCTCTGGAACTGCTTCCTGGGACTGCTTTGTTCACCCATGCCTGAAAATGATTCTGAGGGACAAGAAAGCCCGCCCCTTGTGTATTCTGAATTTGCTGGTTTCATTTTGTACAGTAGTTTTATTTACTTTCAGCAGAGAAGTTGTAAAAGTAATCAACAAGGATTTTCCAACAAGAGGCCCATGTGCCACAATGCTCACCTGAGTCAATATGGCCCTGCTGTTCTTCGTCAGCAGATTTCTTCTCCTATATATTCACATGTTAAGCTTTGATCGCCTGTCATGATTTGAACAAACTTGAATCTACACTACCTGCTTCCATATCAATATGACTCATCATGGCTTTGTTGTTCTTGAGAAGAAGATTTTTAAAGATATTTCCTATGTGTGTTCTTTTGTAAAACTTTGATCCACCATTATGGCACCACCCTACTACTGGAGGATGTCTTGAACAAACTTGAATCTACAATATCTGGGGATGCTTCCATATCAATATGACTAATTATGGCTTTCCTGTTCTTGAAAAGATTTTTAAAGATTTTTCCTATATATTCCTATGTAAATCTTGATCACCCATTGTGGACCCACCCTACCCCCAGGGGTCATGATTTGAAAAAACTTGAATCTACACTGCCTGAGAATGATTCCATATCAATATGACTAACTGGGGCTTTGCTGTTCTTGAGAAGAAGTGTTTTAAAGATTTTTTTCTATATATTGCTATGTAAAACTTTGATTCCTCATTGTGGCCCATCCTAACCCTGGGGGTCAAGATTTGGAAAATTTAAATCTACACTACCTGAGGATGATTCCATATCAATATGACTAATTGTGGCTTTGTTGTTCTTGAGAAGAAGATTTTTAAAGATTTTTCCTATATATTCCTATGTAAAACTTTGATCCCCCATTGTGGCCCCACCCTACACCCGTAGGTCAAGATTTGAACAAACTTGAATCTACACTATGTAATGAAGGTTTCATATAAGTTTCAATTTTTTTGACCCAATGGTTCTTGAGAAGATTTTTAAAAGATGACACCAAATTTTCACCAGTTCTTAATTATCTCACCTTGGAAGTGTGCGTGGCCCTTCATTTGAACAAACTTGAACCCCCTTCACCCAAGGATGCTTTGTGGCAAGTTTGGTTGAAATTGGCCCAGTGGTTCTAGAGAAGAAGTCAAAAATGTGAAAAGTTTACAGATGGATGGACAGACAGACGGACTACAGACAAAATGTGATCAGAAAAGCTCACTTGAGCTTTCAGCTCAGGTGAGCTAAAAATTTACTAACAAGAATGGTTAGCTACTGAAGGATATGTCAACTGCTGATTTCGCACCATTGTAGTGTAAAATCAATTAGAAAAATTAATTAAATGTTGGTAACAATAAAAAGTTGTTTTGCCAGTTTTAAAAAAAGAGAAGTCAAACAATGATTTTTTTAATCCAAGTATTTAACGTAAATGCAGGTGTTTGAAACTAAACAATTTATTTAATTAATTAGAGCCGTTAAATAATGTACTCATAGTTTACATTATGCTATGTCCTAAAGGAGGAAAAAAACACGGCACATTAAAGTTGTAGAAAATATTCAAAGCTATATGCTGCACTGGAAAGTAATTATTTTTAAACTGTAAAGGCAGCTAAGAAAAACAAAACACATTCAATGCCATTTTTTTGCTGCTTCAAAATAAAACCTAATGATTAATTCAAATAAAGACAATCTTTTTCTATGAAATAATCTCCCTTCATATAAACAACGTGAGCAATTATTCGTTGATTTTTCTCCCGGATAAATTTCTAGCATATAAAAAAGTTTTACTAAATATATAAAATTATATTTTTAAATAAATATGGTTGAAAATATCGAAATTTATTTCTTATTTCTCTTTGTATGTTTGAGGAAAAACAAGATACACATAACAACTGCATTGTCTGGCCGATTAAAAGCCATACATGGTGTATAAAATGTGTAAACACCTAGCTAAGTTTTCAATCGCCTTTGGGCATGAATAGCAGACAGTCCATACGTGTTATTTGGGTATCAGTGTTACACATCACTGCCCATGCTAATCAACAATATTATGGCATTTATTTCGTTCTTCAGACCGTAAACCCTTGTTTTAATAAATATGGTATAAATGTATTTCAGGATTATTTAATTTCTAAAATATCTGAGATAGTCACTTGCATGATTTACATGTACATGCACACTGATGTAAGGGCTCAGGAAATATTTAGTGAAATTGTTTTACATTGCGTAAAGATTCTCACAATAATTATATCGTCACTGAAAATGATAGCCAGAATATATTAGTAAGCAAAATTTGATGAATTAACTGTCATCAGATTCATTATACACATGTATATTTTTTCAAGATCCGTCAATAAAAAACATATTCGGAGTAATATGGGAATCGGCCTTGCTCTATAATTGTAGGATCTCTTTCAAAGTCATTAAATTCTAGTCTAAAAATAAGCCATTAATTTTATTTAGCACATGATTAATTTTCTATAAAAACATATATGGTAAGTTTAACAATTATCAATAAATAAAATTTAATAAACAATGGTTTAATTTGGTTTCAAATTAATAAGCTACAGATGCAATTACAGTGCATTTAGAGTGAAAGTCTCTTTTCTTCTATTATTATTTTTTTTTCTTATATATACTGTTACTTTGTTAATTATTCAGAAATAATAGTCATATAAGAATTGTAAATATGCTGTACATGTACATGTAACATGTCTAACACTTTTTCTCCTAAAAAAAGAAGTTTATCATTAAATTTCAACTGCCTTCATATTACTGACATTGTTTGTTGAAACACTGTGTAATCTCAGTTATGACTAAGTTCTGCCCATTGAATTATTAACCCAGCCTACCGGGACTGCTCTCTGGGACTACTTTCTGGGACAGCTGTGGGACCACTGTGGGACTGCTTTAGCAGTCCCAGGGACCTCTCTGGGACTGCTATCTGTCAGATTGGGTCTGTTTGGTACTGTACGTCACGGTGACCAACATTTCAGTTGACATACTCTGAGGACCCAAGATTCTTCAATTGACAAAGTTTGATGACTCTTAAGCAAATAAGTACCTGAAGATATTTAAATATAGCCATAAAATTGCAAAAGTAGATCACAGTGATCTACTTTCATTTGACTAATCTGTGGAAGGACCCAAGATGCATCACATGACAAAGTTTTATAATTCTGTGCTAAGAAGTATCTGAACATATTTAAAAAAAAAGCCATAAACTTTCAAAAGTAGGTCATGCAATTCTCGCATGTCCTTAAGTGCAGTCATCCTTTCCATGAGACAGAATCAAAAGCTAAAGCCTTCTCAAAGTCAAGAAGGAGCACTAGTCCAGGTTTACTGTTTTCTTTAGAATAATATATAATATCAGAGAGGAGTCTAGTTTTCACCAATGCACAGTCCTACAAGAAAGCTTTTTTTGGTTTTCATGAATTATTTCTGAAAAAAATGGTTTAATATGGTTTACCAATACACCAGACAATAGTTTAAAATCGATATTCAGAAGTGAAATTGGTGTCCTTCTTTGAACAAATTTGAATCTCCCTTACCCAGCAAGGATAATCTGTGACAAAATTGGTTGAAAATGGCCCAGTGGTTCTTGAAAATAAGTCGAAAATGTGAAAAGTTGGCAGACTGATAGACAGATGGACACGAGACAAAATGTGATCAGAAAAGCTCACTTGAGCCTTCAGCTCAGGTGAACTAATAATCCTCCTTCACTTTATGATCTATATAGCCCCATTATAGCACCAGAACCCCCTGACCCTGGTGCCATAAAGGACTATATTCAGTATTGACCTACATTTGCACCCAAAATCAAACTTTGATGTTGAAATCTAAAATTACAATCTAAACCAGGGGGATATCTGCAGACTTCAAATCATTAAATATTTCCATCGGCCATGATGCCATTTGTTAGATATGACATCAGGAAAGTGATGTAAATTCAAACTTTTCATGATTTATAGAGAAAAAGTGCATATTACATTGATATTCTGAGTAAAATTCACCGAGCCCAAGTCTTCTCCAACCGGTGTTTTGATATAATGTGTAAAATGATAATATCTATGAATTATGTGAATATTGTTATGGAGCAGGTTTGTGTTCTATGAATTATACAGTAAAAATTGAACAAATTTTGTCCATTTTGTCCTCTTTCTGAAAAATGACAGAAAATCCAAATACTTTGTGACATCATAGAAACAAAAATTGCCATTAACCTACTTTGAAACTACATTTTTTGTTAATTTAGATTTGCATGCAATATATACAAGAAATTTCAAGAAAATTTCAAAATTTAATTTTTATGGGGGCAAAAATATACATATACCACAAATAGTTCCTTCCCAATTTGGTAGAGGGCTTTAGCTTATTACAATCATGCCTGCAGTTTGACTGCTTAATGTCCAGGAGGAGAGAAGAATTTTCAAGGATTGGATTAATTTTGATAGATTTAGCCCCACCCCTCAGGTCCCCTGGCAGGGGGGGGGGGGGGGGCAGGGACCATGAAATTCACAAATTTTGTTCCCATATACCCATAGATGCTTTATGCCAAAAATTGACTGAAATTGGTTTAGCAGTTTCAGAGAAGAAACTGAAATGATAAAATATTAACAAACTTATGATGACAGACAAAAACAGATAGTGATAGGTCACCTAAGTGACTCAGGTAGCCTTAGAAAGGGAGTTCGTATTTTTTTTTTTTTAAGGTAATGTAGATGAAAACCAGGCGCGGATCCAGTAAATTAAGTTAGAGGGGGCGCCAAAAGTAGGCAGGGGGTCTGGGGGCCACCTTGAGGCCCCCAGTGGGTCCAGGGCAAAGCCCTGGTGGGGGCCCAGGGGGCGAAGCCCCCAGAAGCTCCTGAATTCTAGAGATTTTGTAGGATAAATATGTGGTCTACCGAGTAGACATTTTTAAATTTTCTCGACGAAACTATGATTTATGCTAACTTTGACAATTTTAGGGGGGGGGGGGGGGGGGCGCCCCCCCTTAAATCCGCCACTGAAAACACTCAAATGCCTTACAAGCTTGATGTTTATGCACTATCTATATTGAATTTACAATGAAGTTTATTTCTAATCACAAATGAAATATGCAAAAATTTTTCACTCAAATTATATCATCCTTTGCACTCTGAACTTGAGAACTGTGTACCACTGACCTCTTGCTGTCGGAACAGATCACTATATTTTCCAAGTCCTAGTTTACTAAAAAGTTCTGGCAAGTCTGTGTGGTCACTGTCCCAAAAATTGTTGACCGGTGGTATATTAGCACTGTCTACGTGATTACTACTGCTTAGATAATCATTGAAGTCACCTGTGAGGGAAAAAAAGATGTTCTAAGTTGAATTTCAATAAAACATGATTGTAGTTTCTAAAGAGTTTTATGGTAATGTTTCATTTAGATTACACCATAAATCCAAATTTTATTAGAGCTTCCTCCTTGTGGAAACCTTAGAATATACAGTCTAGACTGCCACAGCAACTCTGTTTTAATTAAACCCCCTTCTGTCATATGTGAACATATAAAGTTCCAACCAATATAATACCGTATAAGCAGATATTTTAGAAAGGATTCAAATTTGGCATTTTTAATGAGAATGTTGAGATCGCTATAAAAAAATATCGTTAAAAATTCCTTCCAAACTGGAGTTTAGCATTAGATTTCTAGGTATTATAAAAATACTCCTTGCAAAAATTTATGTACTGACTAAAAATTCCACTTATACAGTATTCTATATAAAGCCACTGTATTCAGCATCTCCCTGCTTTATGTGACAAGCAACCATATTTTGCTTGACTGCTTTAAGTGACTTTGAGACAGCCCAAAATCTAGTGGTTATCTGTGTACCAAAGGATTTAGTATGTCATGTGATGATAGCAGTTCTGAAAAAATGGCATTCCAAGATGACAAAAAACATAGCACTGTTTACAGAGTATTTTTTTTAAAAAAAACTAAAATATAAAATTCACAAAAAGAAAGCAACACCTATTAGATGATTTTGAGAATCCTGACATGCCAAGGATCTCCAAGCACTGAAGATATTTCACAGGCAATTAACAAAAATTAATGTATTGAAATTTGCCATAAAGTTTAATCAAATGTTTTTCATAAATATTGCTGCCAAAAGAAAGGAACATTGCTATTTACACATTTTGTAAAATATCGCCATAAAAGGACAAGGGGCTCAAGGGCCTAGAATTGCTTTTCTGATGAAAAAGGTGAAGATAACAAACAGTGATCGATCTCAAAATATCTGTAAACAATATAGTGAAAATCTGTGAAGAGGGCATAAAACATGGACCCCTGGAAATTCCAGAGGTGGGATCAGGTGCCTAGGAGGAGTAAGCATTTCTCGTTGACTGGTCACACCGGACGCCGTGAGCCCTATGTATTGATATGGTAAATGGAACATTCTGTAGTCAAATTAAAAAAAATTATAAGGCCTAACAATTGGTATGAAACAAGTAAGCCAAATGTGACCCAATGATAGGTTTATTTGCTAACAAGGTCAATAAAACTAACATAGAATTTACAAAAATGCCAACTTAAAATGAAGTTGTTGAAATCCCTGAAACATTTTTTTTTTTATACCCACACTTTTCTAAAGAAAGTTCGGGTATATTGCTGTTACTCATGTCTGTCCGTCCGTCTGTCACACTTTTCTTTCTCAAACTCCTCTTACATTGTACACAGTAGCCTAATCATCTTTTGGGAGATGGTTGATGGTGTCATGCAGATGTGCAGCAAAGTTTCGGAATTTTCATTTTCACCCTGGGGGTCAAATGGGGGTCGAAAAATGACGTTTTTTAATGCAAAAAGCCCCTGGTTCCCTGAGCTCCTCTTACATTTTACACAGTAACCTAATCATCTTTTGGGAGATGGTTGGTGGTGTCATGTAGATGTGCAGTAAGGTTTCGGAATTTTCATTTTCACCCTGGGGGTCAAACGGGGGTCGAAAAAGGACGTTTTTTAATGCAAAAAGCCCCTGGTTCCCAGAACTCCTCTTACATTTTACACAGTAGCCTAATCATCTTTTGGGAGATGGCTAGTGGTATCCTGTAGATGTGCAGTAAGGTTTCCGAATTTTCATTTACACCCTGGGGGTCAAATGGGGGTCGAAAAATGACAATTTTTATGCAAAAAGCCCCTGGTTCCCAGAATTCCTCTTACATTTTACTCAGTAGCCTAATCATCTTTTGGGAGATGGTTGGTGGTGTCCTGTAGATGTGCAGTAAGGTTTCAGAAGTTTTATTTCCCCCCTGGGGGTCAAATGGGGATCAAATTTAAAAAAAAAAAATTCAACATGTTTAAACACCCTGGTTCCCAGAACTTCTCTTATATTTTATGCACTAGCCTTAAATCATGATCATTTGGAAGATGATTGATTTTGTCCTGTGGATGTGTAAAATGGATTTTAAATTTGCATTTCCATTTGGATGGCAAATAGGGGCAGGAAAAAATGGCCCCTCCCTAACCCATGGGGTCATGATTTGTACAAACTTGAATCTACACTTCTTGGGAATGTTTCCATATTAATCATGCTTTTGTTGTTCTTAAAAAGAAGATTTTTTCTTCCTTTTATTCCTGTATAAAATTTTGATCCCTTATTGTGGCCTGACCCTATCCTCGGAGGTCATGATTTGAAAACTAGAAAATATGTCCATAGGATATAAATGCCCTGCCAAATGTATATTACTAATGCAACATGAGAATTTGTATGAGTGTATGAAGTTTGATGAGAGTATCTTGAACAGTTTCTTTAAAATTGAAACTAAAATCTAAAAAAAATGGATATAGATAATAAATTCTCACCAAATTATGTATAAGTGCATGCTTACATAAAAGTATCTTAGATTGTTTCTTTAAAACTAAGCAAAATACAAATTAAAGAGAAGAGAGGTCAAGGTCACAGGAAAGTGCAAGGTGAAAAGTTTTTGATGCAGTTGAATAGCTCTCACTAATACATATAAGTATATTAAGTTTGATAACAAGAGGCCCAAGGGCCTTGAATCGCTCTTCAGATAAACTGTACAACCTATCACTTCTATTTGAAGCCTCTACGTATTCCGTATATTTAGATAAACCCTTGAAATACCAATTCACCTTCTGAGAACCCAAGATGATTCTAAGCCAACTAGTACCTGAGAGTTGGTCAGGTGACCTACTTATCACTTGTCATTCTCTGAGGACCCATCAACTAAGTTTGATGATTCTAAGCCAATTAGTACCCAAAATATTTAATTAAAGCCATAAATTTTCAAAAGTAGGTCACAGTGACCTACTTTCAGTTGTTGTACTCCAAGGACCCAAGATGCATCAACTGAAAAAATTTGACGATTCTAAGCCAATTAGTACCCAAAATATTTAATTAAAGCCATAAATTTTCAAAAGTAGGTCACGGTGACCTATTTTTCAGTCAACCTACTCAGAGGACCCAAGATGCATCAACTGACAAATTTTGATGATTCTAAGCAAAATAGTACCTGAAAATATTAAATACAGCCATAAAATTTCAAAAGTAGGTCACAGTGACCTACTTTTCAGTTGTCGTACTCCAAGGACCAAAGATGCATCAACTGACAAAGTTTGATGATTGTAAGCCAATTAGTACTTGAAATATTTTATTAAAGCCATAAATTTTCAAAAGTAGGTCACAGTGACCTACTTTTCAGTCAACCTACTCTGAGGACCCAAGATGCATCAACTGACAAAGTTTGATGATTCTAAGCCAATTAGTACCTGAAATATTTAATTAAAGCCATAAATTTTCAAAAGTAGGTCATGTGACCTACTTTTCAGTCGCCCTACTCCAAAGACCCATGGTGCATCAACTGACAAAGTTTGTTGATTCTAAGCCAATTAGTACCTGAAATATTTTTCAGTTGACGTTTTTCGAGGACCCAAGATGCATCAACTTACAAAGTTTTATGATCATAGGCCTTAAAATGTCCAAATTATGCCTCTAAAATGCTTTGAAATTGAATGCCTGCAAAGTTCAAAAAGTAGGTCACTTTGACCTACTTTTTATTAAATATGTTTTACAGCCCCAAGATGCATCATCTTACAAGATTTAATCCTCTCGGTATTTGAATTAATGACCTTAATTGTTTTGAAAAAGATTAGCCATAAAATTCAAAAAGTAGGTCAAGGTGACCTACTTTTTAGTTGACGTACTTCAAGGACCCAAGATGCATCAACTGACAAAGTTTGATGCTCATAGGCCTTAAATTGTTCAAAATATGCCTCTAAATCATTTTGAAAAAGAATGGCTGCAAAATTTAAAAAGTAGGTCAATGTGACCTACTTTTGAGTCAACATGATATGAAGTCCTTAGATGCATCAACTGACAAGATTTGATGATCCTAGTCCTTATAGTAAGCAAAATGTCAACATTTTAATAAAATGTAATTTTTGGTCAACTTTGAAGTGACCTTGAGACCACGCCCTTTGCCCCAGGGTAAATCCCCATGCAAATTTTAATCTACAACATATCCTCATCCTTTTGTGTAAGTTTGGTGTTAATCTGTCCAGTGGTTCTTGAGAAGAAGATTTTTTAGCAACCAGTACTTTCGTTTCTATTTTCCTAATTATCTCGCCTTGTTAAAGGGTCACAACCCTTGTTTTAGTATAAAAGGGAGCCCTTGGGCCAAGGATACCCTGTGACAAATTTGACAATAATTGGCCAAGGGGTTCTTGAGTTATGGCCAATTTCTAAAAAGTTTACGCACACCGCACAAATGGCCATAGCAATAGCTCTTTGAGCCTTTGGCTCAGAAGAGCTAAAAATATCTTGAATGATTTATTTAAAACTGAGCTTAACACTTATTTGAGAAAAGAGAGGTCAAGGTCAAAGGAGAGATTGAGGTCAAAATGTTGATGCAGTTGAAAAGCTTACATCAGTATGTATTTACTATTAGCATATGAAGTTTGATAAAAATATCATAAATGGTTTATTCAAAACTGATCTAGACACTAATTTAAGAAAAGTGAGGTCAAGGTCAAAGGAAAGGTCAAGGTCAAAAAAGGTTGATGCAGTTGAAAAGCTTACATCAGTATGTATCAGCATATGGCGTTTAATTGAAGTCGGACATGACAAACACTATATGCCTCGTCCACATTCATGACAGGGCATAAAAAACTTGAATCTACACTATTTGAGGATGTTTCCATATCAAAATGACTGACAAGCAAATTCAAAGAATTGTGGTCCCCAGTGGATGGGATGCCATTATTTATGACATATTGTTTCAAATATGCACGCCCTATCATATGTCATTCAAAAGTAATCACCAAAGTTAAAATTTTTGAAAATT